AGGTGTTTCCAAACTTTTTACTGGTAGTGTATATTACCAGCATTAACTTTTCTCATCACGGCCACCATTTATCCCTGTCTTCCACTGTCGCGAGTGACATGTTAATGACAGATTGTTATCTCAGTGAATTTTTTATTTAAATTACATTTCCCAGTGTGCAGACCCTCACAATCAACCTGATACCCCAAATAAACAGTTTAGGGCAACCCTAAATCAATTTACGCTCACAGTTGATCACCCCCCTCCTTCCCAGCTCTCATTCTTCTGGCGTCTGTTCATTTTCTTCTTGAGATAGCGTTACAGTTCATCTTCCCAATGGCACATATATATAACTCGTGCCTTTGATGGCCTTTGATACTGTCCTGATTTCAATAATCTGATTTTCCCAAGCAAACAAATCTCTCACCTGAACCTCCACCACCATTCCGTACAGTCCATTCTGTCTTGTCCATTTTCCCACCAGTGCATCAGCAGAATGAGAGGAGTTTGGGCATGATCTCTCTCCATGCTCACTTCACATGCACGGTCTCAGGACACATGCCGCACTCCTGCCGCTCGTACACAGGTTGCTGGCTCGGACTCAGGTCTCAGTAGAAGTGGTGAAAGACAAGGCCGTAGTGAACGCCTTTGTCGCCATTACTTCAGCTGGTTAGAGGGGGTGAAGCTCACACTGTTCTCGGTCGAATTATTCCTTCCATGCATCTAGATACCATCTGTAGTCACTTTCGCCATAACTTCGAGAGAGGACAGACCAAAACAACAGTTTAAGGCATTTCTGGTTCAGAAAATCTAAACAACTATTCACTGTATGACAAATTATTACATTCCCAATTTTCTTAATATAAAATTCCTAAGACAAATGTCAAAGATCATACCAACACACTGTTGAAACCATTTTTCTAATTGGCTTATACTCCCTTATCATATTGGAGACCTCACCGCAGAGTTACAGGTTCAGGGAGTTAGATGGCTAACCCTTAGGGAGAAATCCAGTCCATACATCAGACCCAATCTGGTGAGATTTGTATCGAACCAAAGACAAAAACAAAACAACAAAACAACAACAGCAATACACTTTATATTATACTTAAATCTCACCTAATGTCTCTATCCTTTTTAGTGAGGGAGATCAGGCCTCACCAGAAAGTGAGGACAAAGGGCATTCAACACCATTAAGTATTTTATTCCCCTTTTCTTTCCCTGTATTTCAGACTACTTATTTAAAAACATTTTAAACATTTCCATCATTCTGCGTGCCTGGTTTACATTGGGTATCTCAGTACAGAAGAAGCGGGTGTAGTAGACTCCAGTACTACCGCACACCCATTCTTCCAATGACCGACGGTCCCATATCTAAAACAGGGAGCTAACCCCCTTCGCTACCCTTTCCTCTCTGTTTCTTTGTCTTACCTTGGCTGTTGACTTTCACTGTGGCTGTATTAACCACATGCATGGCTGTGAAGTGAGCTGAATTCGATTCCACTCTCAATGCCGCATGTACTACTTCATCCCAGTGAGAATGTTGGTCCACTACCCCCGCAATAGCTGTTTTGATAACAGGTTTCAAACCTGGAATCAAAACGCTGGTGTATTGAGCTTTTGATTTTTCTTTCATGTCATTGTGCCATTTCACAATAGCATCTCTGAATTCTTTATTAGTTTGGAATTTTCCATCAGCAAGGAAGTGCTGACCAATTTTATCCACTTTACTCAATTTCCCCATACTCGAGCCGAATTGGTAGTTTGCTTGTGCGCTTCTTTTAGCGCATCCATGGCTTTGCTATAGTTTTCCTCTTATATTCCCCATTTACTTGAGTGTCAGAAACCACGGATGTAATTTCATTGGTGGTTATTTCTGCGCCTCTCTCAACGGTGTTTATGGTGTTTCGATTTCCTAATTCACGGCTCTAATACTCGCCCTCTACTAACTATTTTCCAAGATAGTGATACCCACTTCCCCGGAGAGTAGTTATGGTATATTTGTGCCAATTAATTGGTCACAGCACCTGATACCTTGTATTAAAACCAATACTGAAGCATCTGCCAATTTACTACTGGAGAATACGGGAGACCTAATGTCTTATACCAGTGTTACGCCTCAAATATCACTGTTGTTGTCAACACACATAACCAAAATTATTCACAGTTGTCTTCCTATTTCTACATAATCTGTCACGGTTCCCCGCCCCAATATGCATAAACCAACCTCTCTCCTTATTGCTACTGCTGATACATTCGAATCATGTTCAAACAACATTTGAATATCTTTTTGCTTTTCTAACCATGAATGTGGCTCTCCTCCAGAACTTATAGGCAAACTTTTATCAACATCCACATTCCCTCCTTTTGTCCTTCTCCATGGACTACTTCTCTACAACCTACCGTACTAGTACAAAAGCATGACAATTTATCCATACACACACACACACACACACTAAGGCCTCACAGCCACCACGGTTGTGCTTTCACCCCCCTTACGGTTCTGGCCGAGAAACCACCCCACTAGGTATTTACCCTCCGCAGGGACCACCCTGTTCGGGACTTACCCTTGGGATTTACCCTCCACAGGGACCACCCTGTTTAGGACTTACCCTTTATCTATGACCGGTCGTAACACAATGGGACTTCTGAATAAACTCAGGCTTTTTAGATCCGTATCCTATAATTTGTCATCCTATGACTCTCTTCTCCCCAACTGCCCAACTGCTCTTAAACACTAGTAAAACTAAATGCATGCTCTTCAATCGAACGCTGCTGGCACCCGCCCACCCGACTAGAATCACTACTCTCGACGGGTCTGACCTAGAGTATGTGGACAACTACAATAATATAATAATAATATAATATGCCATTTAGCAGACGCTTTTATCCAAAGCGACTTACAGTCATGCGTGCATACATTTTGTGTACGGGTGGTCCCGGGGATCGAACCCACTACCTTGGCGTTACAAGCGCCGTGCTCTACCAGCTGAGCTACAGAGGACCACACAAATACCTAGGTGTCTGGTTAGACTTTAAACTCTCCTTCCAGACTCACATTAAGCATCTCCAATCCAAAGTGAAATCTAGAATCAGCTTCCTATTTCGCAACAAAGCCTCCTTCACTCAGGCTTCCAAACATGCCCTCGTAAAACTGACTATCCTACCGATCCTTGACCTCGGCGATGTCATTTACAAAATAGCCTCCAACACTCGTTTTGTCACCAAAGCCCCATATACTACCCACCACTGTGACCTGTACGCTCTTGTTGGCTGGTCCTCACTACATATTCGTCGCCAAACCCACTGGCTCCAGGCCATCTATAAATCACGGCTAGGCAAATCTCTGCCTTATCTTAGCTCATTGGTCACCATAGCAACACCCACCCGTAGTATGCGCTCCAGCAGGTATATCTCACTGGTCATCCCCAAAGCCAACACCTCCTTTGGCCGCCATTCCTTCCAGTTCTCTGCTGCCAATGACTGAAACGAACTGCAAAAATCTCTGAAGCTGGAGACTCTTATCTCCTTCACTAACTTTAAGCATCAGTTGTCAGAGCACCTTACCGATCACTGCACCTGTACACAGCCCTTCTGAAATTAGCCCACTCAACTACCTCATCCCCATATTGTTATTTATTTTGCTCATTTGCACCCCAGTATCTCTATTTGCACATAATCTCTTGCACATCTATCATTCCAGTGTTAATACTAATTGTAATTATTTTGCACTATGGCCTATTTATTGCCTTACCTCCATAACTTGCTACATTTGCACAAACTGTATATATATATTTTCTGTGGTATTTTTGACTTTTTTTGAGTTTTGTTTTACCCCATATGTAACTCTGTGTTGTTGTTTTTATCAAACTGCTTTGCTTTATCTTGGCCAGGTCGCAGTTGTAAATGAGAACTTGTTCTCAACTGGCTTACCTGGTTAAATAAAGGTGAAATAAAAAAATATGTCAGAATGAGTGGTAACAGGTGTAGGAACTGTGCCTACCCTGTTTTTTTTGTGCCGGCTCCTGCTCCACTGATTTGGACTCTCCAGTTCGACTGTAAATCGTGGTGAATCCTGCTGACAACGCCAACTGTTAGGTTCTGGCAAACAGAGTGAAAAACTAACGGACAACTAGTCAAAGCTCAAACCAAGTTTATACACCCACTGGGTCAAACAGCTGAAAAGACAAAGACATGTTTACACAGGTACATATATTTATACCCTCCTTCTAGGCGGAGTCTCCCCCTTGCACATCTAGACAGCCACTACATCTATGTTGCTAGGCAAGAACTTAGGTGGTGTATGTGTAATAGAACTGTTCCTTGTCACTTCATCTGACCTGACCTCGGCCCACATTCCTCACTCATCCCTAATCCACGGCTATCCAACCTTATCAGTGACTGAAACCAGACTGTTACTCTTTGCCTCTTTCCATAGGATACATGAGATTTGACAATAACATGTTCTGACAGAATGTAAACTATCTGCACTCCCCCTTATCCACCATACATTGACCCCTATATATATATATATATATATATATATATATATATATATATATATATTCATTATACATGTAAATTAGTATGGTAACATGAATAAGGATATTCCAAGCTAGAATTCAGCAATACTTTCATCATATCGGCCAGCCACCCATGTCATAAACAAAGCTTGATTTTGTGTTGGTGAGATCAGCATTTTATACTACAACATCTGGAGTATAATCAGTGATAGGTACCTGAGACCTATGGTATTGGGTTTCAAACAGTGTTTGCAAGTAGCCTGCTTTTCTTAGCAATTAGCTCCAGTTGCTAAACACTGTTGCTCCTTTAATGACTGCATTTGAGAGTAAGCAATACTTATTGCATCTTCGGTCTGGAAAATGTTGTTGTGAGAATTTTGAAATATGAGAACAATATACACAGCAGGTCATTTTCAGAATGTAAGTGTTTCTTGTTGTTTTATGATTTAATCTCTAGTGTTCTAGTCCTCCCGCGTTAACTACACACTATTATGCCCAATGATAAGTTACACAACTCCCCACTGCACAAAGATACTGTCCCTAAACTTGAACTTGGGGAACAAGTCAAGAAGTCAACAAATCAAGTTTCATCATGGGAAAAATACAAATATTTGAATTGAATCGAAGTCATTAACCAATTGTGTTCTGACGTTTCTCCCCTCTCTCCACAGGTGCCAGGAGGAGTGTCCTGTGGGTACGTTCGGCGTATCCTGCCGCCAAACCTGTCGCTGTGAGAACGGTGCCAAGTGCGACCACATCAGCGGGGCGTGTCTGTGTGAGCTGGGCTACACAGGGGAGAAGTGCGAGGTGCGCCTCTGTCCCGAGGGACACTACGGCCTCACGTGTGACAAGAGGTGTCACTGCCACGCCCAGAACACCCACAGGTAATGCCCACTCATTGGCACATATGATACAATATTGCAAGACATGCAATACATTAAAATACAATACAATAAAATGCAATACAATAACAAATGCTATATAATACAATACAAGTAACCCATTACATATGGGCACATAGCAGATGATTAGACCCATATTAATGTAATTATCCCTAAGATCATTCTATATATTCTATAATCATTCTCTAATCTATAATGGAGATCATGTATACTGAACAGAAATATAAATGCAACATTCAACAATTTTACTGAGTTACAGTTCATATCAGGAAATCAGTCAATTGAAATAAACTAATTAGACCCTAATCTATGGATTTCACATGACTGGGAATACAGATATGTATCTGTTGGTCACAAATATCTTGGGTATCCCCACTGGGGATCCAAGCACAGCCAATAAGAATTCGTTTTTCCCCACAAAAGGGCTTTAATACAGACATAAATACTCCTCAGTTTCATCAGCTGTCCAGGTGGCTGGCCTCAGACGATCCCGCAGGTGAAGAAGCCGGATGTGGAGGTCCTGGATGGTGTGGTAACACGTGGTCTGCGGTTGTGAGGCCGGTTGGACGTACTACCAAATTCTCTAAAATGACTTTGGAGGCGGCTTATGGTAGAGAAATGAAAATTTAATTATCTGGCAACAGCTCTGGTGGAAATTCCTGCAGTCAGCATGCCAATTTCATACTCCCTCAAAACTTGAGACATCTGTGGCATTGTGCTCTGTGACAAAACTGTGCATTTTAGAGTGGCCTTTTATTGTCTCCAGCACAAGGTGCACCTGTGTAATGATCATGCTGTTTAATCAGCTTCTTGATACGCCACACCTGTCAGTTGGATGGATTATCTTGGCAAAGGAGAAATGCTCAATAAAAGGGATGCAAACAAATTTGTGCACAACATTTGAGAGAAATCAGCTTTTGATGCATGTAGGAACATTTCTGGGATCTTTTATTTCAGCTCATGAAACATTCGACCAACACTTTACATGTTGCATTTATATTTTTGTGCAGTATAATTATCCTTACACTCTTACAGTACCCACAACCATTACCATGCTCCAACCAATTGCGCTATCTGTATATAGGATCTAGCATCTAATTGTTTTATTCAGCCCTACTCCTCTCACAGTACATTGATTATACTATAATATTAATGGTTCAAAGTTTAACAAGACCGTTAGAGAGCACTCAAAGTGTATGGGTTTGTCTTTGTGTGTTTGTGTTTGTGTGTCTCTGTGCCTGTGTCTGTGGGGTGGGTGGGGAGTCAGACAGTTCCCCATTGTCCCATTGCCTGTGCATTAGATAAACTGGCACAGCTGGTAGGCTCCATGTGTTGTTGAGGGGGGAAATCTGCTCTGTCTCAATGGGGCTTCTGTGTCAGGTAGGGCAGCTGCCACTCCAACAGGTACCACGGTAAAAACGGTATTGTGCCACATGCGCATGCAGCAAACCACGCCCCCGGCTTTCACATTGTTTAATCCCCGCCTCCTGTGAGGGCATCTGGAGAAAGTTCAGGGGCCTCATTTATCAATCATGCGTCGGCACAAAGCTGTGCGTAAACCGTGTGTGGCCTCATTTCCACGCAAAGTGTGAGATTTATCAATATGAACATTTGCTTTAGAGTGTGCAGACATTTACTCACAGCCATGAACATGCGTACACACAGTGCCAAGCGTTGGAATAAGGGAACTGCTTGTCCAGAGTAGAATGGGGAAAATATATGTTGAAATTGTGAGTAATAATTAAATCATTTTTCGATTTCATTGTACGTCCATTGTGAATTCATGCAACATATCTTGACATGCTATATAATTTGGCCATATCAGTGCATTAATTACGATAATAATTCATATAAAGTACAGCAATTTGTTAAATTAGAGGTATGTGTGAAAGTGAAACCATTGTTGAAATACTATAAAAGTGAGATAATGGGAAATCGAATGAGAGATGGCAGATCTTGCCCTGTTTGCGGATTTGGCACACTGCGTTTCGCAGAGAGCATGTTTTTAGAGACAGGTGGGACTTTTACTGCAGAATGTACAGATTGGGTCATCAGATATCATTTCCCAAAACCAATGATTTTTGTGAGGATTTAAGACCTACTTTAAAAAGGCAAACACATGCCATTTCAGTGCACATCCAAGTGCTATCCACCCTCAGGTTTTTGGCAACAGACACTTTTCAGCGGGAGCTTGCCGATCGGCATCTCAAAGCCCTCGATGAGCCAATGTTTTGGATGCAATCATCAGCAAAACGAACAGTAACACATACAAGTTCCATACAACAGGTTGAAGTCGAGGGGTTTCTTTGCCATGATGCCATCAATGTGTTCCCAAATACGAACGGAGCAATAGACGGCACCCACATCGCCATACAATCACCATCCCAAAACGATTTCAACAAAAGGCTTCCACTCTTCATGTGCAGGTGATAGGTTATGTGATGCGCAAAAGACGCTGCTGAATGTGGTGGCCAGGTGGAACGCATAACTCGTTCATTCTTCAGAACAGCAATGTTGGCCTATATGCCTACAGGAGGGAGCTGTTGAGGAGGGATGGCTTATTGGTGAGGGTTGCCCACTCATTTGAAGTATATTTGCCATTGCTAAAGCAACTTGAATTGTCCTAATGGTTGTCTCTTTGTAGCTATGTTTTTATTTTTACCGGTCAAGCCACAATTGAGTGAGCGAAATAAAATATTTTGGTTGTACTCAATCTCCAACACCTCTATTTCAGTCTCTGAAAAGTTTGTTTTTCGTAGCGCTGTTGTATTTCATGGTACGGGGTTGTATATTCCCCACGGGCTTTAACCTTTTACTACAGTGGGCTAAATTAGGGTCACACAGAGTGTTTCTTGGTAGTCTTAAACAAATCTACTTTGAAACAAAAGTATACATCTCACACACAAGGTTATGGGCTTTAAAAAAAAAGTATACATCTCACACACAAGGTTATGGGCTTTAAAAAAAAGACAACTGTACCATGTCAGATGTAGAGTTGAAATGTATGACATGTTTTGAGTTTGCATCCCAATATTACACTTTAAATACATCACAGAAGACTGAAAAAGAACGAAACCGTTTGACATAGAAATATTATATATATCATACACTCTAGCATAGCTGGAAAGTTTAGGAGATAATTTTATTAGTGTTAAGTACCACAAGGAGTGTTTGAAACAATGACTGTATGGTTTGAATTATAGAGTCTGTCCATAATGGCTTCTGTGACCGCATGGGAAGTGCCATTGAGGGCTATATCCATTTTAAAGTAGTACATTTTCTTCTTTTTTTGTGTTTGAATTTTTTAAAAAGTTTATATTAGTGATTTACCACCACCTGCAGTGCTGGAGTCCTGAACCAATTATTGTGTGTCATTCATGTATTGTGGGCACTAGATGACGGTGATGTAGCTTAAAGCCAATTACAAAACATAGGCAACCCTATTTGAAGAAGTAGACAATGCTCTGATCATTGGTTGATCGCTCCCAACTCATAGGGTGTTAGGCTATGGTTCAACCCAGCACTCAGAGAAACAAACACGACTAAGGGAGTGGAAGAAACAAAAATTATTTTAATAAACGTTCAATTTGTCTTAGTCCAAAAAACAACTGAAGAAAAGGAACAGAGTGGGCTAGTCGGCTCCGGAGGAAGGAGGCTGAGGCAGGCAGGCAGGCAGGTTGGGAGGTATGTCTGAACTGAAGACAAAACAAATGACAGGTTAAGGAGAGTAAAGAGCCAGGCTGAAGACAAAGACAACGTCGTAATTCCGTTCTGTGGGTGACAATTTCTTGGAGAAAAAAGCACAGGGGTGAAGCTTTTGGTCAGTGGGGGAGCGCTGGGAGAGGACTGCTCCCACACCTGAGTCAGACGCGTCCACCTCCACAATAAACTGCAGAGAGGTATTGGGGTGTATCAACACGGGGAGGTGGAAAACAGTTCCTTCAAAACCCCTACCGCCTGCTCCGCCTCAGGGGACCACAGAAAAGGGACTTTTGGGGATGTGAGTCTAGTAAGGGGTGCCACCACTTTACTAAAACCCTTAATGAATCTACGGTAGAAGTTAGCAAAGCCCAAAAATCGTTGAAGTTGCTTACGGGTGGTGGGTGTGGGCCATTCCGTCACTGCCCGGATCTTCTCGGGGTCCGCCTTCACCTGCCCGCTCTCAATGATGAAACCAAGGAACGATGTAGACTGTTTGTGGAACTCACACTTTTCTGCTTTGACGTACAGCTTATTCTCCAAGAGCCGTTGAAGGACTTGACGGACGTGTGACTCATGCTCTTCGGGTGACTTGGAAAAAACAAGAATATCATCCAGGTATACAAAGACAAAACGGTTAAAAAAACCCCTAAGAACATCGTTCACCATGGCTTGGAATACAGCAGGGGCGTTTGAGAGCCCAAAGGGCATGACCAAATACTCAAAATGCCCCAGTGGAGTGTTGAAAGCGGTTTTCCACTCATCTCCCTTTCGTATTCTGACAAGGTGATAAGCGTTCCTGAGGTCGAGCTTGGAGAAAACTGTGGCGCCATGCAGAGGTTCAAAAGTTGAGTTGATGAGTGGAAGGGGATACTTGTTTTTAACAGTTATGTTGTTTAAACCCCTGAAATCGATACAGGGGCGTAACGACTTGTCTTTCTTTTCAACGAAAAAGAAACCTGCACCCAAAGGAGACGACGAGGGACGGATTATGCCCGAGGCCAGAGAATCACCAATATACTGCTCCATTGCCTCTCTTTCCGGTCGGGACAGATTGTATAAGCGACTAGAGGGTAAGGGAGCACCAGGAAGCAGTTCAATAGGGTAATCATAAGGCCTATGTGGTGGTAGAGACAGAGCCTTGTCCTTACTGAAAACATCCGCTAAGTCATGGTATTCTTTGGGGACAGATGACAGATCGAGAGGAGCTGAGGGATGAGTTGGGTTACACTTAGTGGGGGAACCGTTGACCTAAGGCACTCTGAATGGCAGTTAGTGCTCCAACTGAGAATGGTGTGACGTGTCCAATCAATTTGTGGGTTGTGAAGAGCCAACCAGGGGAAGCCAAGGATTAGGGAGGTAGCTGAGCCAGACATAACTCTTAACTGAATGCTTTCACAATGATTGCCAGAAATCACTAGGGAAACGGGGGTGGTTTGATGAGTTATCTCCGCGAGGAGGCGCCCATCAAGGGCTGTGACCCGAATGGGGGTAGGTAGTGGCTCCATGGGGATACGAGCTTGTGTAACGAACTGGTGGCTAATAAAGTTGTCTTCTGCACCTGAGTCTATGAGAGCTGAGAGTGGCAGGGAATGACTCTGGAAACGTAAGGTAAATAAATAATAAAATAAATAATTGGTCATTTAGCAGATGCTCTTATCCAGAGCGACTTACAGGAGCAATTAGGGTTAAGTACCTTGCTCAAGGGCACATCGGCAGATTTTTCACCTAGTCTGCTCGGGGATTAGAACCAGCGACCTTTCGGTTACTGGCACAACGCTCTTAACCACTAAGCTACCTGCCGCCCGGTTACAGGTACTTGTAATCGGGGAATGATGGGTTCAGGATCTAACTCTGGGCTCGCAAGTAGACCCACCGTTACGAGCGAGCCTTGTCTTTTGGTCGCTTAGGGCATGTAGCCAGAATGTGTGTGGCGTCTCCACAGTACAGGCACTCACCCGCCTGGAGGCGCCGTTGCCGCTCTGCTGGAGGTAGTCGAGCTCGACCCACTTGCATTGGTTCCTCCTCTGTGCTCGGGATGGGATCAGGAACAAGAAGCTGCCGGCTCCGGGGAGGCGAGACTCGAGTGGTTGAAGGCTGGGGAACTCGTCCTCCTAGATGTGGCCGACCGCCTCTCTCCCGACGCCTCTCCCGCAACCGGTTGTCTAGCTTAATGGACAGGGAAACGAGAGACTGTAAATCATGTGGCTCGTCACGAGCAGCCAGTTCATCCTTAATGGCTTCATTCAAACCGTTTAGAAATGCTCCTTGAAGTGCCACATTGTTCCACTTGGAGTCCGCTGCCAAAGTCCAGAACTCAATAGAGTACTCAGCCACACTGTTAGAACCCTGCCTCAAATTAAAAAGTATCTTGGAGGAATTACCCACATGGTCAGGATGGTCAAAAACAGTCTTCAATTTAGCAGAAAAATCAGCGAAAGTCAATCCAGTCAAAGTTTGATTTGAGCACACAGCCTCAGCCCAAACCAGAGCTATCCCTCTTAACAGCCCCAGAACATAATGTACCTTAGAGGAATCAGTAGAAAACGACAGTGGTCTCTGCCGAAAAATCAAGTCACACTGAAGCAAAAATCCCTGGCACTTGTCCAATTCTCCATTGAACGGTTCAGGCGACGTGACAGGGGGTTCCCGATGGAACGAAGCCTGCATAATGTCCGAGGAAACAACTTGGGGTGCATCAAACTGGGGGTCAGAGAGAGATGGAGAACTGATAAAAGACAATTTAGAGACTTGTGTAGTTAACTGAGTCACCTGGTTCAGCAGTTGATGATTATCTTCCAAAAGAGTCCGAATCAATTGGTCATGCTGTCCTAGCAACGTTCCTTGAGCCTGGATAGCTTGTTGGAAGCTGTCTTCGTTTGCCCCGTGCTGTTTCTCTGTTGGGTCCATGGCCAGATCGTTCTGTTAGGCTATGGTTCAACCCAGCACTCAGAGAAACAAACACGACTAAGGGAGTGGAAGAAACAAAAATTATTTTAATAAACGTTCAATTTGTCTTAGTCCAAAAAACAACTGAAGAAAAGGAACAGAGTGGGCTAGTCGGCTCCGGAGGAAGGAGGCTGAGGCAGGCAGGCAGGCAGGCAGGCCGGCAGGCAGGCAGGTTGGGAGGTATGTCTGAACTGAAGACAAAACAAATGACAGGTTAAGGAGAGTAAAGAGCCAGGCTGAAGACAAAGACAATTTAACTCTAATGGTGAGCCAAGTTACCGCTCTGGTAAGAACAACGATCTGGTGCCGGTGGAGAGCCATGCCCAGGAATTAGTAGTGCAGGTTGATGAGAGAATAGGATGCAGCTGCGTAGGCAGGAATCACTGGAAACAACCCGCAGCTGCACAGGAGAGGCAGATCCTGAGCATGCCCCCCGATCCACTCCAGACACACCCACATAATGGGGACAAACACACATACAGATACAACAGACAAAGAGGGGACAAAACAAGGAGGAAGGGAAACAGAAAAGGGAGAGACAAGCTGCCCACATAACATAGGGATCCCCACCAAGTTGACTATTTTAAAATGGTGGAAGCCCTAAATGTTAATATCCATGCTGAAATGGATTCTATCCATTCAGAGCCCTCTTTCTACCTCTATGGTTTGAACTCAGTATCCGAAGAGCCAATTGATTCATGAAAAATTTATTGACACACTTACTTATATGACATACAATAACATATTTTCTTAGGCTTGGTTTCGATATATCACACATTCAAAGCACTATGTGCTTTATGTTCTCTCCTATTTTGTGAGGTTGTTTCTAACCAATATACAGCATATACAGTATTTAATTTTGCACAGAGAGGTTTCATGTGAAAGTCAAAGGGACATTGACTGTTTTCTGTTATTACAATGTTCAGGTAGTGTTACATTTTCCCATGCTCTATAGAGTACCTCTTCACTTTTCCTTAGATCTTTATCGTCAAAGTTGTGCTTGCCAAGGATCAAAATTGAAACACATATAATGTAATATACTATAGGCACGCTGCCTGGCTGTGACTCAATGTATTTTTTTTATTTTTATTTTTTATTTAACCAGGGAAAGCTGCTAGTGGTAAAGGTGAGCAGGCTACAGAGGAGTTTACCCAGAATGGCTTTATAAATGAGCTCGTACCAATGTAGCTGTCTGCGCATATAAAGCTAGGTCCAACCCACCATTTGGTACAAGGTGCAATGGTGGGTGAGTGAATTAGCATTTGTAACAAAGCGTAAGGATGCATGATAAACAGAGTCCAGCCTTTGTAACACAGAAGAGGCTGCATGCATATACAGTAAGTCACCAAAATCAATTACAGAAAGAAAAGTGGCTTGAAAGAAAAGTGGCTTGAACAAGCTTCTTTCTGGCCTTGAACGGGAAGCAAGCCTTATTATGAAAATAAAAACCCAATTTCAGATTTTGATTCATCACAAGATTATCCATATGAATTTTGAAGGACAGCTTGTTGTCCAACCATATACCTAGGTATTTGTAGGATGTGCCTCCAGATGTGAAAATGCTAACCTTCTCTGGCTGAGAGCGAGCTCTGGTAAAGGTCATGAATTTCATTTTTTGTGCATTCAAGACCAGTTTGAGACCATATTGGGAGGTCTGCAGTGACTGAAAGGCAGTCTGGAGCTCTTCAACAGCCTCAACCAGAGAAGGAGCATTTGAATAGATGACCGTATCATCTGCATACAGATGCAACTTGGCTGGTTGCATCCCATTTCCCAAGTCATTAACAACACAGGAGCTAAAATGGAACCATGGGTCATTTATTTCACATATCAAACATACAAAACCACATAAAACTTGCAGTTAAGAACAAATCCTCTAGATTTTGAGTTTATCCACGGGAAGCTATTGGAAAAAAGTCTTAATCCACTAACTTTTGACTTTCAGAATGGCGAGAGCTCTTGAAAGACAATGGATTTGCTTAGTCATTACGGAAAGCTGTGGGTCAAAGGACTAGCGCCTAGCGTAACGTAGCGTAGACTCCACCGCAATTGCTAGAGCTGCAATGTGGCTGTAAGAACGGGGCACAGTGCTCTGAGATCACACAACATTTGATCAACCATGCATTGCAGTCAGAAACTGTAGGTGTCCGCCAAACACCTTATTAAGGAAATGAAAAAACATGTCAGAGAACTGTAGGGCAATTGTAAGGCAAGATAGTACATTAGGGTCTACCTTACTAAGCATAAACACCAGACTAATAAGACACAATAAAACTCATTTTTCAACATTACTTAATGTCTTATACATTATTCATATGCTAGTTGTTCATTAGCTACAAACACATTTGAGTGTTGGCGTACTTGATGTCTACACAAGATGTCACAACAGAGTTATCAGATGATATCAATAACAGCCTATTGTCCACTTCTGTCTTGTTCCCAGCTGCCACCCAATGTCTGGCGAGTGCTCGTGCCAGCCTGGCTGGTCGGGGACCTACTGTAACAAGACATGTACGCCCGGCTTCTTTGGCGTGTCGTGCCAGCAGGTGTGCCAGTGCCAGAACGGTGCTGACTGCCACAGCGTGACCGGGGAGTGCATCTGCGCTCCAGGTTTCAAGGTAAAACCGCTATAAAGGGTTATGAGTGGTAATATGTTCCATGTCCAATCTAATAAAGTTACAGGAGCCTAAATCATTGATAACATCAGTAATCTGGTGGTAACAGTTGACTTTATGCAGGTGTTGTATACTTGGAATTGTAAGAAATACATTACACAAGTCATGTCCCAGGATTGGATTGACTCTGGAGCATTCAAACAGACAGTGACTGACTGTATTGACTCCTAATTCAATTGTGATGTTACCTAGGTCATGTTCAGTAGAGATAAAATGTTGTAAAATGTTTTCTAAGATGTGCCTTACTGAACACGACCCACGTATGATGAATAACACAAAGTAAACTAAACTATAGTACGGGAATGCTAACAGTATCTCCATTGTAGGGGTCCAAATGTTCCACGGTCTGCCCATCAGGGACCCATGGGATCAACTGCTCTGCCACCTGTGGCTGTAAGAACGGGGCACAGTGCTCTTCTGTGGATGGAGCATGCTCCTGTAAAGCAGGTAGGTTACTAACAGCAGGGAATGCTGCGTGTGTTAAGGCTATCCCATTCAAGGGAAATACAGCAGAAATAGTGCATGTGAGAAATCCTAACTAAGATATGGACAGAAAATGTAAACTGTCATGTGTGGATCATTCTACTAATGCAGTGGCTTTGGGGTATGACTTCTGGGGAAAACATAATACATTTTCCCAGACCAAATAATTTTCTCTTAATATCAATAAAATATTTGCAAACATTTATATCTGTAGACACAAGCTAGTTTGAGACAAATGGATTCCTCCTCCGTCAAACTACTTTGATGTTGAAAATGTCTTCTTCCCCAGGTTGGCACGGAGTGGACTGCTCCATCAACTGCCCAATTGGCACGTGGGGGCTGGGTTGCAACCTCACCTGTATGTGTGGCAACGGAGGGGCCTGCAATGCCCTCAACGGACATTGCACTTGCGCCCCCGGCTGGAGGGGCGAGAGGTGTGACCTCAACTGCCAGGTGAGAGATGTTTCCCCCACAGCCCATCCCTCCGCCGTCCCTGTCACACAGTGATGACATCATTATAGGTTATAACACTGGTATTATCTTCCTATAATGTATGATGAATTGGAATGTGTAGAACATATAATAGGTATACAGTGTATTCGGAAAGTATTCAGACCCCTTGACTCTTTCCACATTTTGTTACGTTACAGCCTTATTCTAAAATGGATTAAATAAAAATAAAAATCCTCATCAATCTACACACAATACCCTATAATGACAAAGTGAAAAAAGGATTTTAGAAATGTTTGCAAATGTTCTCAAAATAAAAAACAGAAATACCTTATTTGCATAAGTATTCAGACCCTTTGCTATGAGACTCAAAATTTAGCTCAGGTGCATCCTGTTTCCATTGATCATCCTTGAGATGTTTCTACAACTTGATTGGAGTCCACTGGTGGTAAATTCAATTGATTGGACATTATTTGGAAAGGCACACACCTGTCTATATAAGGTCCCACAGTTGACAGTGCATGTCAGAGCAAAAACCAAGCCATGAGGTCGAAGGAATTGTCCATAGAGCTCGGAGACAGGATTGTGCCGAGGCACAGATCTAGGGAAGGGTACCAAAACATTTATGCAGCATTGGAGGTCCCCAAGAACATAGTGGCCTCCATCATTCTTTAAATGGAAGAAGTTTGAAACCACCAACACTCTTCCTAGAGTTGGCCGCCTGGCCAAACTGAGCAATTGGGGGAGAAGGGCCTTGAGGTGACCAAGAACCCAATGGTCACTCTGACAGAGCTTCAGAGTTCCTCTCTGCAGATAGAAGAACCTTCCAGAAGGACAACCATCCCTGCAGAACTCCACCAATCAGCCTTCATGGTAGAGTGGCCAGACGGAAGCCAATCCTCAGTAAAAGGCACGACAGCCCGCTTGGAGTTTGCCAAAAGGCACCTAAATACTCTGACCATGAGAAACAAGATGCTCTCGTCTGATGAAACCAAGTTTGAACTCTTTGGCCTGAATGCCAAGCGTCACGTCTGGAGAAAACCTGGCACCATCCCTACGGTAAAGCATGGTGGTGGCAGCATCATGCTGTGGGGATGTTTTTCATCAGCAGGGACTGGGAGACTAGTCAGGATCGAGGGAAAGATGAACAGAGCAAAGTACAGAGAGATCCTTGATGAAAACCTGCTCTAGAGCGCTCAGGACCTCAGAATGGGGCGAAGGTTCACCTTTTAACAGGAATATGACCCTAAGCACCCAGCCAAGACAATGCAGGAGTGGCTTCGGGACAAGTCTCAATGTCCTTGATTGGCCCAGCCAGAGCCCGGACTTGAACCCGATCAAACATCTCTGGAGAGACCTGAAAATAGCTGTGCAGCGATGCTCCCCATCCAACCTGACAGAGCTTAAAAAGAAGACTCAAGGCTGTAATTGCTGCCAAAGGTGCTTCAACTAAATACTGAATAATGGGTCTAAATACTTACACTACAAGTCAAAGGTTTGGACACACCGACTCATTCAAGAGTTTTTCTTTATTTTTAGTATTTTTGACATTATAGAATAATAGTGAAGACATCAACACTATGAAATAACATATAACATACAATATATTTGCGATTTTTCAAATAGCTACCGTTTGCCTTGATGACAGCTTTGCACACTTTTGGCATTCTCTCAACCAGCTTCACCTGGAATGCTTTTCCAACACTCTTGAAGGAGTTCCCACATATGCTGAGCACTTGTTGGCTGCTTTTCCTTCACTCTGCAGTCCGACTCATCCCAAACCATCTCAATTGGATTGAGGTTCGGGGGATTGTGGATTCCAGGTCATCTGATGCAGCATTCCATCACTCTCCTTCTTGGTAAAATAGCCCTTACACAGCCTTACACAGCCTGGAGGTGAACATCCTGGACTTCCTGATGGGCCGCCCCCAGGTGGTAAGGGTAGGTAACAACACATCTGCCACGCTGATCCTCAACATTGGGGCCCCTCAGGGGTGCGTGCTCAGTCCCCTCCTGAACTCCCTGTTCACCTGTGACTGCATGGCCAGGCACGACTCCAACACCATCATTAAGTTTGCCCGACGACACAACAGTGGTAGGCCTGATCACAGACAACGATGAGACAGCCTATAGGGAGGAGGTCAGAGACCTGGCCGTGTAGTGCCAGGATAACAACCTCTCCCTCAACATGATCAAGACAAAGGAGATTATTGTGGACTACAGGATAAAAAGAGGACTGTGCATGCCCCCATTCTCATCGATGGGGCTGTAGTGGAACAGGTTGAGAGCTTCAAGTTCCTTGGTGTCCACATCACCAACAAACTATCATGGTCCAAACACACCAAGAGAGTCGTGAAGAGGGCACGACAAAGCCTATTCCCCCTCAGGAGACTGAAACGATATGGAATGGGTCCTCAGATCCTCAAAAAGTTCTACAGCTGAACCATCGAGAGCATCCTGACTGGTTGCATCACCGCCTGGTATGGCAACTGCTCGGCCTCCGACCGCAAGGCACTGCAGACGGTAGTGTGTACAGCTCAGTACATCAGTGGGGCCAAGCTTCCTGCCATCCAGGACCTCTTTACCAGGCGTTGTCAGAGGAAGGCCCTAAAAATTGTCAAAGACACCAGCCACCCTAGTCATAGACTGTTCTCTCTTTTATCGCACGGCAAGCCGGACCGGAGTGCCAAGTCTTGGTCCAAAAGGCTTCTTAACAGCTTCTACCCCAAGCCATAAGACTCCTGAACAGCTAATCATGGCTAGCCGGACTATTTACGCTGCTGCTACTTATCTATGCATAGTCACTTTAACTCTACCCACATGTACATATTACCTCAATTACCTCGACTAACCGGTGCCCCTGCAAATTGACTATGTACCGGCACCCCCGGCCTTACAAAAGTATTCATCCCCAATTAGCGTTTTTCCTATTTTGTTGCATTAAAACCTGTAATTTAAATTAAATTTTATTTGGATTTCATGTAATGGACATACACAAAATAGTCCAAATTGGTGAAGTGAAATTAAAAAAATAACTTGTTTCAAAGAATTCAAAAAAATAAATAACGGAAAAGTAGTGAGTGCACATGTATTCACCCCCTTTGCTATGAAGCCCCTGAATAAGATCTGGTGCAACCAATTACCTTCAGAAGTCACATAATTAGTTAAATAAAGTCCACCTTTGTGCAATCTAAGTGTCACATGATCTGTCACATGATCTCAGTATATATACACCTGTTCTGAAAGGCTCCAGAGTCTGCAACACCACTAAGCAAGGGGCACCACCAAGCAAGCGGCACCATGAAGACCAAGTAGCTCTCCAAACAGGTCAGGGAAAAAGTTGTGGAGAAGAACAGATCAGGGTTGGGTTATAAAAAAATATCAGAAACTTTGAACATCCCACGGAGCACCATTAAATCCATTATTTAAAAAATGGAAAGAATAAGGCACTACAAAAAACCTGCCAAGAGACGGACATCCACCAAACTCACGGACCAGGCAAGGAGGGCATTAATCAGAGAGGCAACAAAGAGACCAAAGATAACCCTGAAGGAGCTGCAAAGCTCCACAGCGGAGATTGGAGTATCTGTCCATAGGACCACTTTAAGCCGTACACTCCACAGAGCTGGGCTTTACTGAAGAGTGGGCAGAAAAAAGCCATTGCTTAAAGAAAAGAAATAAGCTAACACGTTTGGTGTTCGCCAAAAGCCATGTGGGAGACTCCCCAAACATATGGAAGAAGGTACTCTGGTCAGATGAGACAAAAATGGATGCTATGTCTGGCGCAAACCCAACACCTCTCATCACCCCAAGAACACCATTCCCACAGTGAAGCGTGGTGGCAGCATCATGCTGTGGGGATGTTTTTCATCGGCAAGGACTGGGAAACTGGTCAGAATTGAAGGAATGATGGATGGCGCTAAATACAGGGAAATTCTTGAGGGAAACCTGTTTCAGTCTTCCAGAGATTTGAGACTGGGACGGAGATTCACCTTCCAGCAGGACAATGACCCTAAGCATACTGCTAAAGCAACACTCGAGTTGTTTAAGGGGAAACATTTAAATGCCTTGGAATGGCCTATTCAAAGCCCAGACCAAGTATTGACTTTGGGGGGGTGAATAGTTATGCACGCACAAGTTTTCTGTTTTTTTGTCTGATTTCTTGTTTGTATCACAATTAAAAATATGTTGCGTCTTCAAAGTGGTAGGCATGTTGTGTAAATCAAATCATACAAACCACCCAAAAATCCATTTTAATTCCAGGTTGTAAGGCATCCCTACTGTTATTTTTATTTTTACTGCTTATCTATTTTTCACTTAACACTTTTTTTCTTCTTCTTAAAACTGCATTGTTGGTTAAGGTGTTGTAAGTAAGTATTTCACTGTAAGGTCTACTGCACCTGTTGTATTCGACGCATGTGGCAAATACAATTTGATTTGATTTGATTTGTTGGGTAATTGTCCTGTTGAAAAACAAATGATAGTCACACTAAGCCCAAACCAGATAGGATGGCGTATCGCTGCAGAATGCTGTGGTAGCCATGCTGGTTAAGTGTGCCTTGAATTCTAAACAAATCACAGACGGTTTCACCGGCAAAACAACCCACACCATAACACCTCCTCCTCCATGCTTTACGGTGGGAAATACACATGCAGAGATCATCCGTTCACCCACACCGCGTCTCACAAAGACACTCGGTTGGAACCAAAAATCTCCAATTTGGACTCCAGACCAAAGGACACATTTCCACCGGTCTAATGTCCATTGCTCGTGTTTCTTGGCCCAAGCAAGTCTCTTCTTATTATTGGTGTCCTTTAGTAGTTGTTTCTTTGCAGCAATTCGACCATGAAGGTCTGATTCACACAGTCTCCTCTGAACAGTTGATGTTGAGATGTCTGTTACTTGAACTCTGTGAAGCATTTATTTGGGCTGCAATTTCTGAGGCTGGTAACTCTAATGAACACATCCTCTGCAGCAGAGGTAACTACGGGACTTCCATTCCTGTGGCGGTCCTCATGAGAGCCAGTTTCATCATAGCGCTTGATGTTGTTTTACG